AAAAGAAGATGAAGATCGACAATGGCAACACCAAAGAGATTAAGAGAATGAATCTAGATGGAAAATTAGCAAAAAAGGAGATTAAGATATGGTTAAACTTAGAAGAAAAACACTAAACACAAGACCTTCTAAAATTAGCTTCATAGATTTTGATTTGTGTTCTCTTTACAAATTAGTCACTAAAATAACAACTTCCAATTCATTCAATTTAGTCACTTTATAAAATTAATTATAAATTATCAAAAATATAAATCAATAATTCAAAAGTATTTAAATCATTTTAGAAAATATTTATCAATAAAAATTTCATTATTATTATTTTTATCAATAATCCGAAAACTAACCGGACTACCGACCCGGACTTTGAGACGGTACAACTCTCTTCCCCTAAAAAGAATTTTGTCCTCAAGATTACCTTAATCGAACAACTACAGATACTAAACTCTCATTGGCTCCTTCGTCTCTCGTCGCCTTTCCAGTATTGTGGTTACGCCACAACACTTTCACTAGTTAAAATCTTAATTGGCTCTTCGTCATACGAAATATCGACATGAACCTCAACATTGTCTATCGAAAAAACATGTGAAAGATCCGAACGATACTTACATAACATCGACACATGAAATACATCGTGAACACGCTTGAGCTCAGGCGACAACCTAAAATGATATGTAATAGGACCAACACGCTCTAACACCTCATATGGTCCTATAAAACTTAGACTAAGATTACCCTTACATCCAAAACGCAATACATTCTTCCAAGGTGAAGCATTCAAGAACACAATCACCCATGACATGTTCATTATCATGATACTTCAAATCAACATAAGACTTCTACCGGTCAAAAACAACTTTTAAACTATATGAAATCATCTTAACCTTACCTTTCATCTCCCGAACTAGATCCAGACCAACAACACACATCTTACTCAACTCAAACTACATAAAGGAGTACGAAACTTACGCTTATGTAACGCCTCAAATAGTGTTATCTGAATACTTACATTATAATTATTATTATGTGAAAACTCTACCAACGACAACTAATGCTCCTAAGAACCAAAAAAGTCTATAACGCAAGCCCGAAGTAGATCTTCGAAAATTTGAATCCCACGCTTTGACTGACTGTTCGTCTGCAGATAATAAGTCGTTCTTAAACTAAGCCTCGAACCTAAAGCCTCATGCAAACTCTTTCAAAACCTCGACATAAAGCATAGATCACGTTCTGAAACAATCGACAAATGAACACAATGCAACCACACTACCTTTACTATATACAACTCCACCAACCTTTGCAACGAAAATACACACCGACAAAAAATACGCGCTCTTGGGTGAATAATTGATAATCACCCAAATAGAATTCTTCTTTGAAAGCGTCAACGGTAAACCCATCAAAAAATATATCGTAATTTGCTCCCACTTCCACTCTGGAATACTAATATGTTGAAGCAAACTCGAAGGACACTGATGCTCGACTTTTACACGCTGACAAACCAAACATCACCCCACAAACTTAACAACCACACTTTTTAATACCGACCACCGATACGACTATCACAAATCCTGATACATCTTCATAGTACCCGAATGCATTGCAAACGACCCACTATACACCTCTGAAAGAATTTTATGCCTCAAACTCGAATTGATAGACACACACAACTTACCCTAAAAACATAACACACCCTAAGAATTCAACGAGAAACCACCATCCGATCCATCTCTCGTGAGCTACAACTTCTCTTTTAACTTCCTACAGATTGCAAATCATGAATATGTTGTGACCACATAAACTTAATTTGTAATTCAGCAACTAACGCTCCATCCTCAAACAAGCTCAAACTTACAAAAAAAACCCTTAACTTACCCATCAACTTACGACTTAAAGCATCGACAACAACGTTTGCTTTACTCGGATGATACTTAATCAAACAATCATAACTCTTTAATAGCTCAACCCAACATTTCTGCCTCAAATTCAACTCCTTCTAAGTAAGGAGGTCATTGAGACTTTTGTGATCAGTTTAAATGATGCACCTCTCACCATACAAGTAGTAACACCAATTTTTTAGCAGAAACACTACCGCGACAAACTCCAAATCATACGTGAGATAGTTAAGCTCATGGAGCTTTAACTGACTCAACGCATAAGCAACCACCCTACCGTCTTGCATTAACACACTTCTAAGATCAGTAATAGACACATCATTAAACACAATAAAATCTTTTACCGACACTGGTTGTACCAAAACATGAGCCTCTATCAACACCAAGTTTAACTTCTCAAAACTACTATTCCTCTCTTCTATCCACTCAAACTTAGTATTCTTTTACAACAATATCGTTAAAGGAGAAACAATAAGTGAAAAACCTTCCACAAAGTGACAATAATAACCAACTCACATAAGGAAACTATGAAATTCGATAATGCTCCTAGGCGGCTTCCACTTGACTATCTTCTAATCTTATACGGATAAACCCGAATACCCTTAGTTGAAACAACATGACCAAGAAACACTACTTCATTCAACCAAAACTCACACTTTGAAAACTTGGCATACAACTTCTTTTCTCTCGACACTTGCAAGACAACACTAATATACGAATTGTGTTCTTTCTCTGAACATTAATACACCGAGATTTCATCGATGAACACCACCATAAAACGATCGAGAAACAAATGAAACACATGATTCATCAGATCCATGAAATCACCAGGCGCATTTGTTAACCCAAACGACATGTAGTATTAGGGAGATATTGTGTGACCCAAACCTATTCTGAAGTATTAGGGAAATGCTGATGTTGTGTGACCCAGACCTCACATAAGATTCTATAGTAAACAAATATGAGTGTGAGTTTTGTGATGTTAAGTGATCCCAAGCTACACTATGATGTTTACTTTTAGTTGTTATAGTGAATGTAGTCAAATGTTCATGACCATACTAGTTACTTGCTTATATGTTGAATGGATGTAGTATAATAGGGTTATCTATGTGGCACTGAGTTTGTGAGCTCAACGTATGGGATGTGTCTCTATGCGTAAGTTCCTAGGTGCTAGTTTGAGGAGCTTGTCGTCAGACTTCATGATTTCTAAACTTAATCTATTTAGAGTACGTCTCGAGTATTGTACTGAGCTTGTACTTGCATAGACCTTTGTTTATTATTTGAGTCGTGAACTCTATTTGAACTTATGTATTTTGAGTATACTTATAGAAGGTCCCCACTGGTTGTAAACTTAACTTATATTTTGTGAAAGTATTATATTTGGTATATTATCATGTTTTGAATTTATGAATGTGTCTAAATGATTTAAAAAAATGGTTAGTCACTTATGTGGTTACATGTAATATTCTAATCCTCTGGACTTTGGGTCGTATCGGATTAGGGTGTTACATTGAGAAAAAAACCTAATAAAAATGAATAAATTGAAATGTTATCCCTGAACTACTTTGAATTTACAAAAAGACTCATGATCAGCATTTTGTCTAAAGTGTAGGTGTTAAAATAAAAATTAAATCATTTTACCAATGGGTTATGTCATCAAACTAACGGCATTCAACGTCCAAATGACTGAAACTTAATAAAATAATAATGTAAGTGACCAAAACTTAATAAAACAATAACGTAAGTGGCCAAAACTTATGTTTTTTGAATTTGGTGAGCAAAAGTGTACAAATATGAAAATAAAGTAACCAAAACTCAATCCACATATTATCTATGTAGAAATGATGTAATTTTAATTTTATATATTTACCGTACCACATCAGCAAACCGTTAAAGGTTTAACGACCATTAATCTTTAGTGACCACATCTTAATTAAAACACAACGAAAGTTACTAAATAATATGTTTTTGAATTTAGTGATGAAAATTTATAAAATTCAAACGAATGTAATTAATTATGTAGTTTACACATTTTTTTAATTATTATTGCTCATAAAAATGAAAAAAATGCAATTATTATTATTTATTGATTTAAAATGCTATTGATTTAAAATGAAAAAAAACTTGTGATCTCTTATTTATTTTTTCAGCCAATTTGCTACAATCTAATATTTGTACGTAATATAAAACTAATATATTAAACATTAATCACGATCATACTTTACTATAAACTCTTAACATCTCATTATTTTTGAAAAGTGCAAATAGATAAAAAAAAAATTAGAATACAATAATTTAAATATAAAAATATTATGTGTTGGCGGATTGGGGGGGGGGGGGAGAAATGATGTTTGCGTCAGTGGGGGGTAATCTTCACCAAATCTGCCATAAAAGGGCTGTCCACTCTTCGTGGTTTATCCTGTCCCCTGTCCCTAATGACATGTTTCTTAAATTATAAAAATATATTTGTAATGGTTTAAATTTTAAAATTATTTTTTAAAATATTATAATTAACCACTATTATAAATACAGTAATAACATCTAAATAAAAAGCATGGATCATCATACAACGTAACTGAACTAATAATTGACACATATTAGAAATAATTTTACATGTTAAAAGACTTAAACTCGAATAAAATATTAACTGAAAATTTATTAGGGTAAATTTCATATTTAGTACTAAAATTATCAGTTTTAGTTTGTTTGAAGATCTAAATTTTTAATTTTTTTAAAATCGTACTTAAAGTTGAGATTTTACTTCATTTTAGTATTCATGTTCAAAATTTAACGTTAAGTTCTGAAAAAATTAAAAGAATTTTAGGTATTAAAACGGACTAAAATTGATAATTTAGGTGCTAAATGCGTTAAGTTTTTAACAACGATGTACTAAAATAAAACAAAAACTAAATATTAGGTATATTTTTGAAAAAGTTAAAAATTTATATACTAAAAGAAACCAAAACTGATAGTTATACTGAATGCGTAGTTTATCCAATTTTACTAAGATATTAATGCACATATTTAGTTTACATTATTTGTATTAAATTAATAGCATATAATAATTTAGAAATATACTGGGACGAAACTAGGGATCTTTAGGTAGTAATATCCATGGACTTTTAGGACAGATGATGGTTAAAAGATGCAGTCCTCCAACAAGCAGCAGCAACAAAGAGTAGCCAAACTGCAAATACAAGCAGATGCATGTACTATAATGAGAACACAACTAGTCGGAAATATGTATATATATCATAGATACCATACCACCCGGTTAAGAAGGAAGTGCAACCATTGTGATAATTGTAATCATTCCTAGGTGGCAGCGGCGGAGGCGGCAAACCAGGTGACGGTGAAGGGTAGCCTTCGTAATAGTAACCTTGATAGCCAGGCGGCGGTGCGGCCGAGTGAGTATGGTTATATACAACTGACGGTGGCGGAGGAGGGAAGCCTGGCGGAGGATATGGAGATGAGTCCCCTGTTTTGGAATATAACAAAGACGCGTAAAGAAGAGAAAGAAGAATGGAGATTAACAATCGATTAATCGGTTACCTGATGGGGTTAGGCCTGGCTGATGAGAAACATGGTGATGGCTGTAACTCATTGCTTGGAATTTGAGACTGCGCTGGTTGTTGGCTTGGGAGACAGTGAGCCAAGCTCACCATATAACAAGATTGCACAACTAAAACAAAGTGTAAATTTAATAAGAAGGTTCCCTTTTGTTGAGTTTACACCACTACTCTTTTTATCTAACTTGTTCGCTAAGATTTGCACAAACAAAAATGACCGTAATTGAATGTTATGCCTACAGTGACACTGTCTTATCCAATAAGTGCCCGTATACTTTGTGTTTGAGATCTTCGGCCCAAGGGTACGAGTCAGCTAAGCAACATGCCACTCAATTCATGCTCCCTCGTGTTAAGCCTCAAAAGAGCCGTTCTACACTTTCAGCTGAACAACAGAAGCAATGTTGGTAATGATTTGAATCTAGGGATGACTATTTCATCCATAAAAGCTTGACATGCCAACAAGTTAAGGCTGAGTCACTGATCAAGCAGATTTTCGCAACCGATCAGAACGAAAGGTTGAAGAAGACATTCGCCTGTTATCTGTCGACAACCACGGGTCCTTATATAATAATAATAACGTTGTCCGAAACTCTTACTGCAAGAGTGTGATATTTATAATGATTATAATAATAATCATTATATATGCAATTGTAATAATCGCAATACAATAAAAAAAAAAACTCAAACCAGATATCTCGTAAAGCTTTTAAACCTTAACATTGTCAGTTCATCACTAAATCAAAGCTTCGATAAGTAACGATTAGTGAAGCAATTGCTTTACGCGAGTAAGAAGTTATATAAATGAATTATTTAAATCTGTAGCAATTAACTGCAGATGGAATACATGAATGCAGAGAATTCATTTACCTCTACCAGTACCACCATTCTGTTTTGCAACAAAACCTAGAGTGCCACAAGGAAGAAAAATAAACGAGTAACAAGTAATTTCCCTATAACCAGATTAGTGCGCATACGAAATAAAAACGGAAAAATAATACTCGAAATTGATAACGGAGTTCAGCCAATTTGCTTACGTCTTCGGACTACTGCAGATCTTTTACTAAGAGAGAATTTACAGGTATTTACAAAACACTCACTACTCACAAGAAAGCTCTCTAGTATTGGGAGAAAGAAATAATTTTTGGGATGATTTTGAAGCTAAATGAGCTAGGGTATTTATAGTTGAAGCTTAAAGACTAATCTTATAAATACCCTAAAGTACAATGACTAAATTTTGATTTTACCATTGTTCAAAAAATCAGCATTTTCTCCTGCCTACTTGCACCACCGAAAAATGCAGCTAAATTTGACAATTTTTGTTGAAATCCCACCGAAAGTGCTGGCCACTTTTGTTGACAATTCAACAATCTCCCACTTGAAGACTGATTTTAATCTGTCTTCACACTTCGATCAATGCAGCAGCATTTCTGGTCTTGTTACTATAGCATGCCATTTTCTGAATGTATCAAAGACTTCTGATTTCTTCTTCAAAAAATAAACCCACACTTTCCTTGTAGAATCATCTATGAAGGTGGCATAATATAGTGAACCTGTAAGAGATGGAATTGGAGATGGTCCCCATACAACAGTATGAACTAACTCTAACTTTTCTACCTTGGGTGTCTTGTCAATCTTTGCAAAACTGACTTTCTTTTGTTTACCAAAGATGCAATCCTCACATAGTCCAACATCTACATTCTTTAGATCCGGCAGCTTCCCTTTTAACAAAAGCGTCTTCATCCCTTTCTCGCTCATATGGCCAAGCCTTTGGTGCCATATGTTTGATTTTCCATCAGCATCTGTGGCTGCAATGATATTCTCAAAATTTGAGATTACATAGAGAATACCAGTCTTCTTACCACGAGCAATTACAAGTGCTCCTTTGGTAATCTTCCATTCACAGCTTGAAAAGGTTGTGCTATATCCTTCTCCATCAAGCTGTCCAACAGAAATCAAATTTCTTTTGAGACCAGGAATATGTCTCACACCTTTCAGCGTCCAAGTGGTCTGGTTTGGCAGCTTTAGTCGGATGTCTCCTCTTTCGACGATCTTCAAGGTTTCATCATCAACTAGATGAACCTTCCCAAAATCACCACTGACATAGTTCTCCATGATTTCTCGGCATGGGGTGGAGTTGAAAGATGTCACTGAATGTAAGATCCATGATTCAATCGGACTGTTGACGCTTAGAATCATGGCATCACCTGTCTCCTCTGTCATGTTGGCAGATTCCTATGCACCGGTATCTTTCTTCAGTGCTCGGCAATCTCTTTTAAAGTAACTCTTCTTGCCACAATTATAACAGGTATAATATTTATTTCTTGTTCTTTATTTTCCCCTTCTGGATTTGGATCTGCCACGATTTGAATTTCTTTATGAAGTTCTCCCTCTAGACTCCATGTGCAAGGCTGAGGATGTTGATGCTTCACCCGATTCTCTCCGTCGAATTTCTTCGCTCAATACCAGATCCCGAACATCACCGAATTTCAATTTACTATTTCTCGACGAGCTGCTAACTGCTGTAACAGTAGCATTCCAACTATATGGTAGAGATGATAAGAGAATTAAAGCTCGAACTTCATCATCGAATTCAATTTCCACGGAACTCAACTGGTTGTGATTGTGTTGAGTTTATTTAGGCGTTGAGCTACTGATGCCCCTTCCGCCATCCGCAAATTGAATAATCACCTCATCAAATGAACTTTGTTTGAGGCCGATGGCTTCTCATACATACTTGAGAGAGTCGCCATAAGACTCGCCGTGGTCTTTTCCTTTGCTATGTTGAAAGCAACATAGCGAGATAATGTCAGTAGAATAACTTCGAGGGCTTATATGTCGAGAAGAGCCCAGTCTTCATTCTTCATGCCCTCTGGTTGCTTTCTTGAGAGAGATTGATATAGATTTTTATGGCACAGAAAATATTCAATCTACATCTTCTGAAAGCTAAAGTCCGCACCATCGAGCTTTTCAATTTTCACATTCCTTTTGTCTGCAGCCATCGCTCCCACTCGAATCTAGTTTTGTTTAGATCGTTTCTGACAATTCTTGCGAACCACCGTGTATTAGAACACCTCCGTCGACAAATTCGTATCACCGATGAAATTCACTATTCACATGAATAGTAATAAATAGTAATCTCGCAAAAAAATTGACAAAATTCATAACCAAAAGCTCTGATACCAGTTGTTGGGAAATAAACGAGTAACAAGTAATTTTCCTATAACCAGATCAGTGCGAATGCGAAATAAAAACGAAAAAATAATAACCGAAATTGATAACGAAGTTCAGCCAATTTGCTTACGTCTCCGAACTGCTGCAGATCTTTTACGAAAATATAATACCCAAAATTGATAACAAGTAATTTTTGGGATGATTTTGAAGCTAAATGAGCTAAGGTATTTATAGTTGAAGCTTAAGGACTAATCTTATAAATACCCTAAAGTATAATGACTAAATTTTGATTTTACCATTGTTCAAAAAATCAACATTTTCTCCTGCCAACTTGCACCATCGAAAAATGCAGCAAAATTTGACAATTTCTGCTGAAATCCCACCGAAACTGTTGGCCACTTTTGTTGACAATTCAACAAAAGCCTTATTTTCGAGCCAAGGTAGAAGATAAAGTCCAGTATGAACGACAAGAGCCCGTATCGTTAGCCAAGGAGACTGCCTGTGAACCACCCATGAGCCATGAGTCAGGCCGCAGGCAAGTCATCCTTGGCTTCAATACGAGGGACTCTGGTCCTCATGTAGGACCTCCCTTCCTCGTGTAATTTGGAGACCAAAATCTTATTTGATTGCAATGCTGGAGGAGAAGGCCATCTATTTATACAAGCAGTAAGTGAACAGGTACGACTCACAGCACATTCGGATCGGATCATCATCGTTTTCGATCGTGTCTGTGAATATATTCTGCTTTTTCGCATGGCTCACACGGTTCCATCTTTTATTCATTGACCCGATCAAATCTTCAAACTCCAAGAAATGCTTATGCAAATACTTAAACCACCGCTAACATTTACTTATTGCTTATTATTATCGTAATATCAAATTTATCAAAATATTCATTTTAATATTTATTCTTGTTTTAACACTTTAATTTCAACGTTGCAATTTTTTTTATCAAAATTACTTCTATTAAATGAAAATGTTAATTGATTAATAGTTATGTATGTTTTTAACTTGATATTTTTCATATATACTTAATTATTTATGCGTCAATGTAACTTCATCACATTAGATGACGTGTCATATAACATGTTAAATGTGTCTCTTTTGATTTTTACAATTATCTGTCATATTAGAAAAGTCAGCAAATAATAATGCTTATATCTCTTTTTTTAACTCTTATATGTCTCATTATTTTATACTTATCAAAACAAATATATCAATCAAATTTTAAGAATAATTTTATCATTTCCCTTGGTCAAATATATCTCCTAAAATTATACATAGTCAATATAAAACACAAATTATGAGGCGGAAGAAGTATAATTTATGCTATATCATCACTTAGAGTGACGTGACACATTTTACATCTTCACATCGAATGATGTGATACATAACACATAAGAAATTTAACACATATAAAATTATCACTTTAGCAGGATATATTAAATGTTAATAAGTTAACAATTTTTGTCCAACGTGAATAATTTTGATCAAAAGTTAAATCACTAAGAATTAAAGTGCTCTAAAAGGATAAAAACTAAAATATATTTATTAGGATAAATGTTAAGGACTAATTTTAATGTTTAAGATTTAAACCTAAGACTTAATGTCAATTAAAAATGAAGTGATGTCTTGAATTATCATCATTATCTTATTTGGATAGTTGAAATTAAGAAGAGATATAATTATTTATAATGTCTTTTAAAAAAATATAACACTTTCATAAAATGTATAAAAAAATAAAATATATATTTTACATCTTAAAATACTTTTCAATTTTCTTTCTTAAAAAT